AAAGGAGATATAAAAAAAATGTAAAAAAAGATATAAAAAAACCGCTTTTATAAGATGTTTTACATTTTCTACGATACATTAAGAAGCTTATATTAAAAATACGTGTAACACATGTAAATTTAATTGACAAAATTTTATCTTGTTCATGGATAAAAAGATTATATCAAAATTAATAAAAGTTATAATACAAAGATACTATAGCTCATAAATAATGTATATTACAAAGATATAATATTATATAACATTATATTACAAAATATATTAGATAATATTATACAATATTACATTATATATATTACATTTAAATGTTATAAAGATATAATAATATATAATATAATATATATAATATTATATATAATATTAATTAAAAAGTTATTAATATTAATAAGGGGAAATTGTACTTTTTTTATATTCTTTGAAACATTAATGTGATTTATCTCACACAAGAACGCTGTATAAAATTTCTTTAATGATAGATATAAAAAGAAACCTTTTATATAATTCTTTTATATAAATTTTTTATAAAAATATATTTTGCGCATCTATATATTATTTCTTTTATTAATTAAATCTATATTAATAAAATATTAACTATAATAATAAAAGAATGCATTTTTTATATTATAATCTATTAACTATGTAACGTTTTCTTAATGTAATTCTATAAATATAACATTATAATAAAAATAAATATAAATCACATACTTTTTTATTTTTGCTGTCAATTTTCATTTTATAGTTACATAATTATTTATTAGACATAACTTATAAGTCTTTCTTTGCTTTGTGCACATATGTTTTTATCGCACTTTAAATGTAACTGTAACATGTGTTGAATAACTTTTTGTTGACATACAACTAAATTATAAACACATGTTATTGACTCTTGTCTCTAAAATTAAGATTCTTCTGTTTATGATTCACATTGCCTCTGTGCTGAAAAAATGATGTTGACAAATGATGACAATGTTACTAAATACTGATAAATTAATAATCGGAAATTACAACTTGATTTACGCATATTGGCATAATAATTGTAATTATCTGTAATGCTTGTATTTACTGTCATATGAATGAACAAGCAATTCATGATGTTCGTAAAAGATTTATATTTTCCTATTAGAAAAACAACAATATCGCTAAACAACAATATCGCTAAAAATCATTGGAGGAATGCAGAAGAAAAGTAAATTATGAATATAAGGAGAATATAAAGAGTAATCACAAGTTTCGCCTGTTTGGTGAACGTCACAAATCGAATTATTGTAATTAAAATAATAGCTGATGATGATGTATTTATCTGGGAAAAATTTTAAGTTGAACCAAGGAACGATTTTAAAAATATATGAAGAGAAGTTATCAAAAATTGGCAAGCAAATTTATATATTAATATAAGTTATTAGATCACAATTCGAGTTTATAATTTATCCTTCTGACTTCATGGCTTTTTTGGAGATGGAAAAATGTTGATTCTTTTTTCATTGGGGGACTGTCGCAAAGTCGTGATATGGTATTCTCTACGTATGCGTGTATCTGCGTCTTTTTTCGGAAGAAGGTGAAAGCGTCGACCTTCTTTCGGAAAAAGCATCTTACTAGAGCGGATATTAATAATTTTTTGTTTGATAACGCTTTCGTCATATCTTCTGTTAACGTTTCAAACGTTTGCGACCATTATTTCCTTATTTATTGTTTATGTTGCCTTCTATCACCGTCTTTTTGTAATCGCGTTCTGCTTATTAGTTAAATTTTAAATTTTTATTTTTATATCCTAACGTTTTTCTTGAGCATTGAAAAGGATCTTGAATATATCGAAACGTACGTATGTATTTTATATCTCATTGATTTTTAATATATTATGTCTCTTACTTAGAGTTTATTATTACTTTTACTCTCTAACACCTTGCGCCACGGTCTCTTAGCCTTTTTATTTTATTTTGTATTCTTATCATTTGGATCGTTTATCGTTTTTCTTTATTTTTATAATTTAAGATCTATCAAATGGGCGAAAAGATAGGTATTTATGCAGTTGCACTTTTATATATAAATTAAACTTCTTAAATCGAAGAATATAAATTAAGAATGTACGTATACATAATGAAAATTATTATATAGAATATAACATATTGTAATTGTGTTATAAGCACGGTCACATATTTGTTAAATCTTCGGAATATTCCCTCTCTTCCCCCCCCTCTCTCTCCCTCCCTCTCTCTCTTTCTCTCTCTCTCACTCTTGCTCCTGCTGTCCCTCGTTCAAATCTTAAAGTCTCATCTTAAGGTCTTAAATATTTTCAGCGACTGTTGTTGTCAAAAGAATAAATGTAAATAAATCATCAGAACAGTATCAAAGTTAGCAGTATCAAGAGATTAACCATAGTGACAACGTGGAGAATTAAATTTATAAGACTTATTAATCCGTTATTATAACAAAAGTTTAACAGTTTATTGCACAATAAATTAATAATACAATTAAAAATGGATGAAATTGAGCTCGATGAATTTCCTTGCACGGAAGATGAATGTACCGCATGCACCGCACCAAGATCGTCATTATGTTGGCAGTGTAAAAAAAGTACGCAGTTTTATTTTTATGAAATAATCGGATTAATAAATTTTCTTTACAAAGATAATTGCGGAATGAAAATTTTTTAAATCAGCATTATATATTTTGTATTATAAACTTTTCTATGCGTTACACACACACACACACACACACACACACACACACACACACACACACACACACACACACACACACACACACACACATACATAAACACACATAAAAATATGTATCTATATAATTTATTTTTTAAAAAGATTGGATATATATTATATAAATTCATCATTATTATTTAAAAAATCATTATTATTTAAATATGTTATGTATATAAATTCGTTTATGATAGATGTGAATAAAACATATCTCATATCCCCATGTGACTGTGCAAATGTATACATACACGTTTATTGTCTGGAGGAAATAGCAAATAAAAGCGACATACTTTATTGCCCATGTTGTAATACTCGCTATCCATTAGAAATACGGTCCAAATCATTATCAAAGGTAATGTCGCAAAAGATCTTATAACTGTTAACAAAATTGTAGAAAATAGCGAGCTAACTTTTAGAAAAAAAAATTTATTTTAACATATATATATATATATATATATATATATATATATATTTATTCTAATTTCTTCATTTTAATTATTATAGACATTTTAATTATTATAGACAGTCTACTCTTCAAAATATGCCAAAAGTTTAAAATCTTTATTTAAAAATATAAAAAAATTATAAACTGATCGTACATATAAATAAAATAATGTAAGTTCGGTTAGCAACCTTTATTATTATTGTGGCATATGTTTATATATGAATTTTGACTTTAACGATTTTAGCGTTTGCCTTAAATTTAATATCTGCTTATTATTTCTTATTATTTCTTATTATTCTTTTCTTATCTTTTATGTTAAGGCAAACGCTAAAATCATTAAAGTCAAAATTTATATATAAACATATGCCACAATAATAATAAAGCTTGCTAACAGAACTTACATTATATTATTTATATGTACGATTAGTTTATAATTTTTTTATATTTTTAAATAAAGATTTTTAATTTTTGGCCTATTTTGAAGGGTAGACTGTCTGTAATAATTAAAATGTGAAGAAATGTTTGATGATAAAGTCAAAAAAATTTAAAACTTAAACAAAATGATTTATAGATGGAATCATGACAATTCAATAAATAAATTATAAAATTGTAAAATAAATAAGAATATATCAAGAAACAAAATGATAAAATAATTTCTACGATTTATAATTTCTATGTTTGATGATTTTATTTATAATAATATTAAAATAATTTATTTAAAGAATTATTATTTTTTTCATTAAATGTGTTTTTGTGATATCAATATAATAATATTATAAAGATGGGAATAAATTGTTTCAGATGCTTTGGAAAGTTTGTATTTCTCTTTTTATAATATCATTCCTTATATGTATAAATTTCATAACGGGACTAATCGTTTATTTAACATTATCAATTGATGTTCAGAATCAGATAACCTTTATCGTACAAATCATCGTCCTAGGCTTATTTCTTTGGTTTATTTATATGGCAATGCAGCAAATAGTTAATTCGAGTAGTAGGTAAGAGTACATTCTATTAACTAATTAATCTAACATTTTGCGTTCGGAGATTTTCAACTTAAAAGTATATTCAGGAAGAACTGAATTTAAAAAGATGAAGAATTGAAGTTAATAGATCTAATTTTAACAATAAATTATCTGACACATTTCGGAATTAATTTTTTTTCTTCAAAAAAATTATTGAAATAGAGATTAAAGTCAATTATAGCCAATAATTACGTCCAAATTGTAAATGATTAAGAAAATTCCTTTCAAGATGAACTACACGAATAATAATCATATTTCTCTTTCTTAACTGATTTAAAATTTGTTTTTATATAAAAGTAAACATAAAATTAAACTTAATTATTAAAAGGAACATATGATTATTATATTATGTATTATTTGAAATCATTATTATTAATTAATAATGATAAATATAAGAATTAATCATAAAGATATACAATAAAGATATATAAATTAATAAACACAAATGACTTATTTTTGGTACTTTTACTAAAACAAATTTATATTAAATCCAAATTAAAAAATAAACCTTTTAAACTAAGGATGATTGAGATACTTTCTATGTCATGGTACAGAAATTTTATTCATTAAACGGAAACTATTCTAATTTAAATTATATAATTATAAAAATACTAAAATATCTTAGTAAAAATATAAAACAGCATATATTATATAATAAATATAATATAAAGATATAAATTGCTTTCTTCTTACTTCTTATTTATTTACAGTATATATGAATATTATCATCAATGGTACAAAAGCACTAATGAATGGAGATTGATAAGACCATCTACTGATAACAATATTGAAGAGTACAATATTGAAGAATGACTAAAAATTAATTTTCTAATATATTTATAAGAATTGATCTAGTATATTTATAAGAATTGATAAGTTATAATGCGATTATTATAATATTTAAGAAAGTAAGACAAATGAAAATTTCATTGTTCTGCATATTTGTAATGTAAGCTATAATGCTGTTATTTAAAGGAGATATAAAAAAAATGTAAAAAAAGATATAAAAAAACCGCTTTTATAAGATGTTTTACATTTTCTACGATACATTAAGAAGCTTATATTAAAAATACGTGTAACACATGTAAATTTAATTGACAAAATTTTATCTTGTTCATGGATAAAAAGATTATATCAAAATTAATAAAAGTTATAATACAAAGATACTATAGCTCATAAATAATGTATATTACAAAGATATAATATTATATAACATTATATTACAAAATATATTAGATAATATTATACAATATTACATTATATATATTACATTTAAATGTTATAAAGATATAATAATATATAATATAATATATATAATATTATATATAATATTAATTAAAAAGTTATTAATATTAATAAGGGGAAATTGTACTTTTTTTATATTCTTTGAAACATTAATGTGATTTATCTCACACAAGAACGCTGTATAAAATTTCTTTAATGATAGATATAAAAAGAAACCTTTTATATAATTCTTTTATATAAATTTTTTATAAAAATATATTTTGCGCATCTATATATTATTTCTTTTATTAATTAAATCTATATTAATAAAATATTAACTATAATAATAAAAGAATGCATTTTTTATATTATAATCTATTAACTATGTAACGTTTTCTTAATGTAATTCTATAAATATAACATTATAATAAAAATAAATATAAATCACATACTTTTTTATTTTTGCTGTCAATTTTCATTTTATAGTTACATAATTATTTATTAGACATAACTTATAAGTCTTTCTTTGCTTTGTGCACATATGTTTTTATCGCACTTTAAATGTAACTGTAACATGTGTTGAATAACTTTTTGTTGACATACAACTAAATTATAAACACATGTTATTGACTCTTGTCTCTAAAACTAAGATTCTTCTGTTTATGATTCACATTGCCTCTGTGCTGAAAAAATGATGTTGACAAATGATGACAATGTTACTAAATACTGATAAATTAATAATCGGAAATTACAACTTGATTTACGCATATTGGCATAATAATTGTAATTATCTGTAATGCTTGTATTTACTGTCATATGAATGAACAAGCAATTCATGATGTTCGTAAAAGATTTATATTTTCCTATTAGAAAAACAACAATATCGCTAAACAACAATATCGCTAAAAATCATTGGAGGAATGCAGAAGAAAAGTAAATTATGAATATAAGGAGAATATAAAGAGTAATCACAAGTTTCGCCTGTTTGGTGAACGTCACAAATCGAATTATTGTAATTAAAATAATAGCTGATGATGATGTATTTATCTGGGAAAAATTTTAAGTTGAACCAAGGAACGATTTTAAAAATATATGAAGAGAAGTTATCAAAAATTGGCAAGCAAATTTATATATTAATATAAGTTATTAGATCACAATTCGAGTTTATAATTTATCCTTCTGACTTCATGGCTTTTTTGGAGATGGAAAAATGTTGATTCTTTTTTCATTGGGGGACTGTCGCAAAGTCGTGATATGGTATTCTCTACGTATGCGTGTATCTGCGTCTTTTTTCGGAAGAAGGTGAAAGCGTCGACCTTCTTTCGGAAAAAGCATCTTACTAGAGCGGATATTAATAATTTTTTGTTTGATAACGCTTTCGTCATATCTTCTGTTAACGTTTCAAACGTTTGCGACCATTATTTCCTTATTTATTGTTTATGTTGCCTTCTATCACCGTCTTTTTGTAATCGCGTTCTGCTTATTAGTTAAATTTTAAATTTTTATTTTTATATCCTAACGTTTTTCTTGAGCATTGAAAAGGATCTTGAATATATCGAAACGTACGTATGTATTTTATATCTCATTGATTTTTAATATATTATGTCTCTTACTTAGAGTTTATTATTACTTTTACTCTCTAACACCTTGCGCCACGGTCTCTTAGCCTTTTTATTTTATTTTGTATTCTTATCTTTTGGATCGTTTATCGTTTTTCTTTATTTTTATAATTTAAGATCTATCAAATGGGCGAAAAGATAGGTATTTATGCAGTTGCACTTTTATATATAAATTAAACTTTTTAAATCGAAGAATATAAATTAAGAATATACGTATACATAATAAAAATTATTATATAGAATATAACATATTGTAATTGTGTTATAAGCATGGTCACATATTTGTTAAATCTTCGGAATATTCCCTCTCTCCCTCCCTCTCTCTCATTCTCTCTCTCTCTCACTCTTGCTCCCGCTGTCCCTCGTTCAAATCTTAAAGTCTCATCTTAAGGTCTTAAATATTTTCAGCGACTGTTGTTGTCAAAAGAATAAATGTAAATAAATCATCAGAACAGTATCAAAGTTAGCAGTATCAAGAGATTAACCATAGTGACAACGTAGAGAATTAAATTTATAAGACTTATTAATCCGTTATTATAACAAAAGTTTAACAGTTTATTGCACAATAAATTAATAATACAATTAAAAATGGATGAAATTGAGCTCGATGAATTTCCTTGCACGGAATATGAATGTACCGCATGCATCGCACCAAGATCGTCATTATGTTGGCAGTGTAAAAAAAGTACGCAGTTTTATTTTTATGAAATAATCGGATTAATAAATTTTCTTTACAAAGATAATTGCGGAATGAAAATTTTTTAAATCAGCATTATATATTTTGTATTATAAACTTTTCTATGCGTTACACACACACACACACACACACACACACACACACACATATATACATAAACACACATAAAAATATGTATCTATATAATTTATTTTTTAAAAAGATTGGATATATATTATATAAATTCATTATTATTATTTAAAAAATCATTATTATTTAAATATGTTATGTATATAAATCCGTTTATGATAGATGTGAATAAAACATATCTCACATCCCCATGTGACTGTGCAAAGGTATACATACACGTTTATTGTCTGGAGGAAATAGCAAATAAAAGCGACATACTTTATTGCCCATATTGTTATACCCGCTATCCATTAGAAATACGGTCCAAATCATTATCAAAGGTAATATCACAAAAGATCTTATAACTGTTAAAAAAATTGTAGAAAATAGCGAGCTAACTTTTAGAAAAAAAAATTTATTTTAACATATATATATATGTATATATTCTAATTTCTTCATTTTAATTATTATAGACATTTTAATTATTATAGACAGTCTACTCTTCAAAATATGCCAAAAGTTTAAAATCTTTATTTAAAAATATAAAAAAATTATAAACTGATCGTACATATAAATAATATAATGTAAGTTCGGTTAGCAACCTTTATTATTATTGTGGCATATGTTTATATATGAATTTTGACTTTAACGATTTTAGCGTTTGCCTTAAATTTAATATCTGCTTATTATTTCTTATTATTTCTTATTATTCTTTTCTTATCTTTTATGTTAAGGCAAACGCTAAAATCATTAAAGTCAAAATTTATATATAAACATATGCCACAATAATAATAAAGCTTGCTAACAGAACTTACATTATATTATTTATATGTACGATTAGTTTATAATTTTTTTATATTTTTAAATAAAGATTTTTATCTTTTGGCCTATTTTGAAGGGTAGACTGTCTGTAATAATTAAAATGTGAAGAAATGTTTGATGATAAAGTCAAAAAAATTTAAAACTTAAACAAAATGATTTATAGATGGAATCATGACAATTCAATAAATAAATTATAAAATTGTAAAATAAATAAGAATATATCAAGAAACAAAATGATAAAATAATTTCTACGATTTATAATTTCTATGTTTGATGATTTTATTTATAATAATATTAAAATAATTTATTTAAAGAATTATTATTTTTTTCATTAAATGTGTTTTTGTGATATCAATATAATAATATTATAAAGATGGGAATAAATTGTTTCAGATGCTTTGGAAAGTTTGTATTTCTCTTTTTATAATATCATTCTTTATATGTATAAATTTCATAACGGGACTAATCGTTTATTTAACATTATCAATTGATGTTCAGAATCAGATAACCTTTATCGTACAAATCATCGTCCTAGGCTTATTTCTTTGGTTTATTTATGTAAGGATTGTCGAGCGGCAATAATCATGTACTTCGACTTAATGAGAACATTATTTATTTGATAGAGGTACACTTAAAACTGTGCGGCCGGACCGACGCCACGCTACCTCGACACACGTGGTCGCTTCTTCCCGCGCGCGCTCTCCCTCGTGTATATATGCCGACTGACGCCACGCTGACGCAACACTACCCTCTTGTCTTGCCAGCGCCCCCGCCTTCCATGGCGTACCAGGGTCATGTACCCTACAATAATCTGGGCGCGTAATTTGGTTTTTCTTTGGTATCACGTTCATCTCACAATTCGGCCTTTCCTGATCATTTGTCCGGCCTCGGACACGGTAGTACAAACAAGATAATAGAGTATAATGAATAAGTACAAAACAATCTTAACTACTGCTTATCAACTAATCTTTGGTCTCTGATAAGTGTTTTAGGTATAGTCAGGCGATTTCGTCACGCCAGGGTCTAATGTTGCAAGCTTCCCATGTTCCTTCGTAAGGGCGACGTGATGTTTGGTAATTCTCTACATCTCTAATTATGTATCTATCATTTCTGAGAATCTTATATACCTCATAAGGTCCTTTGAACTCGGGGATGAGTTTCTTCGGCGCCCCCGGAGTATTATCAAAATTTCGGATCCCCACGTAATCACCTTCCTTGTACTGACGTGGCTCTTTTCTACTCTTGTCAAAGTAACGCTGATTGTATTCTTGATTCTTTGAAATATTCTTAGCGGCCCTTTCGCGTATCACTTCGAGATCACGGGTTTCTGGTGTAGCCTTTTC